CATAACAAATTATGGTTTTCCTTAGTTTATAATATTATTAAGGATGTATTGCTAAGCTGCCTTGATGATATTTTAGACTTACAATAGTAATTCCGAATTCCTGGAGAGCAAGCGAAGAGAACTGAGACTTCTAGACTCTGAAAATCAAAAATTCCATACGGTTTTCAAACATCTTAAAACATACTCGGTATTATGTGTAATTCTTTTAAAATTAAATTATAGCAAGTACAAGAGCTGTTTTTGAACGTGAGATATTTTTTTTCTTGGCAAAAGTTGTTTCTGAGGCGAGCGGCCCCATGCAAGTTGACGACACTTTTTTACCTTTCGAAGAGATTTTGTTTCACAAGGAAATATAAAAAATTCGACTAGCCTTAGCTCGCTTTCTGAGCAAACCATTGAAAAACCCTGCCATTTCCCATTAAAACTTCCCAGTAAACCTGAGATAATACTTCGATGACACCTTACCTTCCAAATGAGTGTTTGAAGGCAAATAACTTTGATGTTCTTCGCTAATTTTTCTGTGTCTCGCTGCAGTGCTCTGCCACCGGCCTTTTCATACGTCTACGGCATGAAGTGTAAGCTTAAGTTTCTCCGGTTTGTGCAATATTTTTGCGGGACCTGGATCCAGTTCTTGCATATAGAGCCTCTTCGGGGTATCTATTGAGTTTTTTATTGAATGTTTCTAATGAAAAGAGGTAAGAAATGAAGGAACTAATTGAACTGAAAAATAGACCCAGATCGATGTCACGCAATCTTTGCATGTAAGTGATAACGTGCTGCAAATACTTCCACATGGATATTTTTGTCTTGCTTTTGCATACAATGTTTTGGTTTTGGCTTTTTTTTTTTTGTTAACACAGGCCTATTTTGAAGGGGAGTTCCTTGTATGCAATACTTTGAATCGGTGCATATACACGCAACACATTTACTTTTCCCATTTTCTAGTGACTGTACAACAAATTAGAAATCCAATCTAGTTTTAGCTTGAAAATTCAAACGCCTGGGCAAGTCCATTGCTAATGATTTCCTAAAGCTAGATAAAAGGGAACAGTAATGTATATCCGAAAAAGTTACTGGCCGCAAAGTGAGACTTTGTAATTTGTATTAATTGTATTTACCAATTTGCCCATGGTAGGTGGACACGCAAATAGGTCCTCTTCGTGGTGTATCTAACTTTTTAGGAATTGTGTTCAACAAGATACCTTTCGATGCAGAAGTAGACGCACGCTTTTATATGATTCTTCGAAAACTGTCCCTTTGGAAACTGAAAATGATTTGCTTTTTGGTTCGCACAAGACATGCTTCTTTTCGTACGACCATAGAGCAAGTAAAACTGCTTTGAGGGTTGCCATCGAGAGAGATCTAAGTTTAAAACAGATAACTACCAAACGCAAATAGGTCTATGGCAAACGGTTTGTTTACCTCTCAAAAAGTTCTAAATATAGAATTCTCACAGAGTTCGAACTGTTAGGTTTTAAAATCGAACTTCCCGATCGCTTGCCCGATAAGCGAAGCTAGCACGTGGGAGCCTCCTAAGTGTTTCTTAAACTCAGCAAATCTTATTACGCGGACAAACTCCACTGGATTAAAATCTTTATAACTTTACAAAGATATGTGCAGGAAAGTGAATTTAGGTCTGTTTAAGTGTATTGTATAACTTGAGCGCTCACTTTGTCCGAAAAAAAAAAATTAAAATCAAACATTATTTACAACTCGGCATCCCGAGTAATTAGGAAATGATATCGAGACGCCTGTTTAGGCCCGTATTAATTCCAATGTGTCGTCGGAGAAGTTATAATGAATCTAAGAGCTTAAAAGCTAAGTTATGAAGCTGTAAGGCGTAAAAAACAAAAATATTAAATCTAACCGTTTAGCGTCTTGCCCCGCGCTCATTGAGACTTGCATTACGTAATTCACTTTGTCGATTGTCTTGCATCTATATCTAGGGCCTTAAGTGAAGCAGTCTGAAAAGCTGTTTACACGGCAGAAAAATCGTGTACGGACTTGTCAAAAAATGAAAAGGAGTACAGAACTGAAATTTTTGCCCTTGTAAACTATCTGTACCATGTTTTGGGGATGGGTATTTTTTCTTGTTTTCTGGCCCAAGACTTCTATGGTCCCAAAACCAGAAATAACACTGGTCTGGACCAATTTCTTGCATCACGCGTCGCCATTTTGTTTACAAGAATCACCGTATTTATTCCAATAAGCGCCTCCCTCGAATAAGCGCCGCATCGGGGACAAAAACGTTAATAAGCGCCGCCCTCGAATTAGCGCCGCACCCCCGATGCGGCGCTTATTTGAGGAATTCCGTATAACCAGGAAAGACACTATAAAACAATTTTGACACAGCATCGGCAATTTATATTCTTTAAATGTGATGTTCTTTAGTTCAAAGTGACTGTATTTCTCTGCTCGGGTTATGAAACGCTCGGGATTTTTACACCGCATGAATTCCTCTCGTAATTCTATATTTACCATTAGTTTAGCATCAGTCCTTGGGAAAATTGACAGATACATGAGGAGCTCTGCATCTGAAAAATATTTTATGCAAATGAGTTGGCTGCACACTCACAATCCGCAGCCAGCTCATTTGCATAAGTAATTCAAACCGAGGTTTGACACCCCTCAGTGGTATGAGGTATTCGCTGAACACTCCAGGACATTTGATAAACGGCACATAAATGTAATTAAAGCTCTCCTCGACAAAAATGAAAAAAACTGCGGCTTCCGATAATTATATTTGATATCACTTTCCAGATACAACACTAATTTAGCTGCACATTGTCCAGATAGAACAGTCAAGGAAAATTTCGTAAGAAACCTCTACGGACCTAATTCCAAATAGCCTGAAGAGCCGTTCACTAAGTTTATTCTCCTTGTAGAAACAATGTCTTAAGCGAAACAAACAATAATTCGTTAACGCAATGTCCAGAAAATATCCAGGCCAAATGTCCCTGCAAAATATAACAGGGAAAATAACTTCCATGATCAACGGCCTATTTAAGGCTAACCCCGAAGAGTCCTTCTTTGCACAGTGCGTATTTTGAACTTTAAATGTCCATAAACCGCATTTATCAGATAAGCCAAGAACTACACATCCCTTTCAACGGATGGTTTCCGTTCCGTCTACACGCTCTGTTTTTATTATGACCCTTTAAATGCGACGATTTTGGAACGGCAGTACCATTATATATACCGAAAGGTAAAAACTTACGTCTACGGATTTGTGCTCAGAAACCACGCGGTAAAGCGTCCAGGATGTAGACAGAAAAGTATGCAAAGCGAGAAATATCTCAGGCGTAACAGAACCATTTTGAAATGGGGTTATGTCACGCATAAATATGTTTAGGTTACGCATAGAGTAACGTTCAGGCTGCAACTATTTTCCTTCTACATTGATAAGTTGAACCTTAACTCATTTATGATCCCTAAATCAGGAGGGTATAGAAGAAATTAAAAATAACCCTCAGGTACTTGCATACAATACCCAAACCTGGAGAACCATTTAATACTTTTTAAATAACACTGCTGTTGGTGCAATACTCATTTAAAGAAGGAGGCGGTGACAAAGCTGCAAAAAGAGGGTAGCATGACAAAATTAACATATATAACCATTATTCTTTCCAAACTCCCAAATCTTAGTATCTAGCTCGGCTATACTTGAATGAATTTTTGCAATTCCCCGTGATCTTTCGACTGTTGGCATTTCCCGCCAAATCTGTCTGGTATCTTACCGTCAAACGAGATTTGATATATCGTATCAACAACAGGAATAATATTGCAGTTAAGTATTCACAAATAGATCTGCTGGAGATTCTCGCCGTTTAAATAGTGCGACTCAGAGATCGAGTGGAAATGCAACATACAAGTTGTTTCGTTGCCTAGCGTTGAACGAACTGCCTTGTTGGCGGGATTGAGAACGCTGACGTAACACTACGCATTTAATCGGGGAATCGACGAAACGTTTCGTTATTTGAAGAAGCATTCGGCCCGATTCCACATGAACTCTTCGTTAGCACACACTAGAGCTTTTTCGGGTCTGTAACGTGTTCGCTAAGACAGACAGTGAAACACCAGAGACTCTAAACACAACATTTAATCTTGTGAAGCGAACGAATACATCCGGGAACTCAGATGTAGGGTAAACTGTATAAATTGACTCAACATACATAAATTAACACCGTTATATCTCCCCCCGTTATTCAAAGAGGAAAGAATAAACAAGGAAAAAACTAAATCGATTCTTAGAGTCATTGTTTGGCGAATATAAACAACGTAGGTAAGTGTCATCATGTATAGTCACGGAGGTATGCTGGTCTACGAAGGACTCTTCCCCGAGCGCTACATCTTCCTGGACTCGTTACGTCATCAGCTGGAGGGTTCGGTGCTGCTTGTGGCTTGACCATCTCTTGGGGCTTTGATTCAACGACTTGTGGCACCTGTTCAACTTTGGTCAGGGGCAGGGGACCATGATCGGAGCTAGGTATCTCTATGTCAAGAGGTGATGGTTTAGGGAGTTCGGCTGTGAGACGCAGGTGTCGGCGGTTCCTACGATAAACCCGTCCGTCGTCAGCGGTAACTTGGTATGAGCGTACACCAACTTGTTTGTCAACCGTTACTTGGGTCTATTGTTGTTTATATTTGGGTGGATTGATACGTACGGTGCTCCCTGGCTCAAGTGGCTGGAGCTGTTTGGTGCTATTGTTGTAATAGAATGCTTGTTTGTTCTTCTGGACCTGAAGAAGCTGGGAAGTGGTGTCAAATTCAGGTTGTGTTAGTAATCGCCCAGAGGTAGGTAGGAGGGTTTTGGTACGGCGGCCAAAGAGGGGCTGAGCTGGAGACGTTCCTAGCCCTTTTGTGGGGGGTATTGCGAAAATCAAGGAATCCCAAGTTGCT